CCCCAAAACCCCAAAACCCCAAAACCCCAAAACCCCTATAAATTAATAATTTATTGAGGAAGTTTAATAATATAATCATGAGATCAATTAAACTAAAGCTTTCCAACTCTAATATGGTATAGTCTTAATAGCTAATTTCTAGAGTATGTATCATGTAAAACTCAAAAATACCAATAAGTCTTATAAGACAGAACTGAGTGGCCTTAAGCTCACTCTAAACATTGCTAACATAAAAAGAAAACCTGTTCTAAATATGAAATCTGGAACTAAAAGGAATCAGATTTGTTTGAAAAAGAAACCTCTAGCGTTCATGAAGAAAACAAAAGGTAAGCTGCTCTATCTCTGGTGTCATAACCCTCTTTTCTTCATTGAACTCAATTGTTTTTCATATTACTAATCATCCCTTCAAAGAGTTGTCAACCCTTTCTAAGCATGCTGGGTTTTACTAAAGTAACTTAAATGATATCTAAACTTCATTCATACTCCTAAATGAACATATCTTCTTAGCTCAGAGAGAAGGGTACTTCAGGGGTTTTATTCTTAATATTGATTTGAAACAGATACCCGCATCAATACACTTTGCCAGTAACTCATATTTGCTTATAGCCAGAATGCTGTCACCAAATCCTCCAAGGATGAACTTTGAGGTAAGCCCTATCCCTTCTCAGCATATTTCTCATCACTAAGTGCTTAATCCTAATGCTTCCTATCACTCACAAGCTTTCAGGCTCTTAATTCTCCCTCTATCCTAAATTTTGTACGACAAAAGAGGCTTTGTTTCAATATGAATCTCATAATTTTCAATAAAACGATAGGGGTCTCCAACCCGTTTGTCCTACTAAAACGCGTGTTTTCCTCTGCCCCAAAATCTTTACTCCCAGTCGCAGAGTTTGCACTACAAACTCCATGTGTCCTTGTTATAGGGATTTGGGCAGAGTTTGGGAAAGTGCAGCGATAAGTCTCAGTTGCTATATCGAGCAGGGTAGAAATTAAACACATACCTTGTTTGAATTTTGGGTGTGAGACTATTCTTGAAATTCTTAGTGAAGACATTATTATTATTCCTACTACGTACCATACCGAACGATCGGTTTCAATTAAAATCCCTAATCAATATTTTACTAGAAAAACATGCCTATTAGTTTTACCCTCACCTTATAATCCCAGAATTCTTTGTCGATTATGTAGCTATTAATGAGATAAACCGGAAATTATGAAAATCTACTGAATTATTTCAAAATTTTCTCAGATCCTTCTTGGTCAGACCTCTTTATATGAGATGATAAAGTCACTAGGACACAAGCCTGCAACCCATATTTTATTTGTACCCAATTTTTCAAAGAATTTACTAGCTGAAATTCGCCAAAAATATAGTACTAATTATGTCTGATTACATAAGAAGTGGTAGCCTTATATTTTAAGTATGAAATATTCATAGTGCATAATTTTTAAGCACTGAGTACCAATTTGTGAGGTTTGTCGAGATAAATAGGGTTTTCTTACCAACATAATCTGTTCTAATGATGGTTCGCATGAGGAATTTGGCCCTCAACTTCATACTACTAATTATTTCTAATAATGCTTCGTCTGCTACCCAAATATCTCTAAACACTTGTTTAATTCATGAATACAAAAGCAGTATTCACAGCAAAATTTGTTAACAGAAAATCAGTTAAAGCAAAGGAGTTTCTCTGGTTTTAAAAGCTTAGAGCGTGTTTGGTGTGAGCAAATTATAACTATTATGGCCTAAAAATGCCCTATCATCCGGGCTAAAAATGAGATGACTTGAAAATTTTATAAAAGGTTTACTTAATTTCCTCCTGTGCCCATTAATCAGGAGTAAATTTTATACCAAGATTCTTGAATTTCGGGCCTAGTTAATTATTGACCATAATTCATACACCTTTTCATAATAATATTTCTCACTAAATGAATTGAAATGGTGAACGTGAGGGCTAAAATTTGTCAGGATTGTTTGAAAGCTTTTTAACTATTTCAAAGGAAAATTATGATTCTAAAAATCAGGTTTAAACCTATTTCGATCATAAATCGATTTTATGAGTAACTTAACTGGCTTTAATTTTGATTCAATAACCTAAATCGGACTATTGATTAAGAAAATACTAGAACTTGTCTTGAAAATTATCATAATCTTTGCTTATAGTTCCCGCAAATCAACAACACAGAGAAGCCCAAGAGAAAATGTCGGAGGAAATGGAGGTCTCCAGTCAGCTCAACTGAGAAATCTCAGTTAGCCAAAATGAAGACCCCCTCTCAGAAGAAACCTCTTTACTCAAAGTGCAGGACTAGGGTGATGAGCCAAACGATTGGGGAGCCTTGAGAGCCCCAGAATGGTCAGCTGAAAAGGACCAGGACTAGAACTTTTAGCCAGGAGGTTATCCAAGAGAACTCTACTATTATGGGACAAGCTGAAGAGAACGAATCCATAAAGTTCACATATGAATGCAAGATTAGGAACAAACTTAATATTGCCAGGAGGTGTAGAGCGTTCTTGTCACCAGTGGTGCTAAGGACTAAGATTGGCGAGATGTGCTCCTTGCCGAAGTTCACTAGTCCTCGTCATTACGTTGCTGAACAAGCACTAAAGAAGCGTTGAGATTTGGAAGATACAGACTGAATTACTCTAGACACCAGGACAACTTTTCAGAACGATGATTTCAATAGCAGAGTTAATCATAATCTCTCTAATTTTAGCTTGGATAAGCACTCTATCGCTCCTAAAATGAAGAGAAGCCATATCAAGAGTTGAGATATGGCCCTTGAATAAAATTTAAGACGATTTTTCATAAATTTTTAACAAAAGTCGAGTAATATTTCCATAGAAAATTCAGTGTATTATTAAAATAAAAGTTCTTTTCATGAGGCACACTTGTTAGCTAACTAAGCTTCACTTTAAAGAAGCGATTAAGAAGGCTATATAGACCATGTGGACAAGAGTAACCTCAGTGACTACTGGTTTAATCATTTTTTCATAGTTGCCGAGTTTATATTAATTTTTAAAGGATTCTATAAGCCTTCACCTAAAAGGGGTTTTGGGGTTTTGGGGTTTTGGGGTTTTGGGG